TTAAAGTTAGTTTATTTTTCTTGTTTACAGATTTGTCTTTATTTGTCATTCAAATGTCCACATAGTGTTCCAATCAGCATTTATTTTTTTTCCTCTGATTTCTTTTATTTATTTCATTTACTTATATATTTTTTATTGTTCTTTCCTTTCTTCAAATCCAAGTATCTCTTCTGTCACACAGATAATGTTTTAGTAAATCTCATTTTGTATTTATGAAACAGTCTACCTGTACTGTAAAGAAAATTCAGAACTTAGCAGTGTACTAGCCCTTAAACTTATAAGGTCATCATTAATCACATTTATGGTCCTAATACTGTATTATGATCAACAGATAATTTGTAATGTTTATTTTAATATTATACATGTATAATTTTCCTGTGAAACACTATTAATACTTGCATTTTGCATTATACAGGTAGTATGAATATACTGTATCAGCAATGATGCTAAAAAGGTACCTTGCAACACACATCACATTATCACATACACTCTCCCAGCTAGTGTAATTTATTTACTGTATACTGTAATTATTTTATGTATGTTAAATATACTGTTTTAGGTGCAGTATGTTCCCATTACAATTATGTTTATCCTATCTGTCTATATCTCTACATCTTTCTTTCTCAAACTTTTAAAATACACTACATTCATATCAGTCACTTTACTTTTCCTTAGTGAAACATTTCTTTTGCCTCTAATAAGTTTATTATTTTTTATATTTCCAATTCTTATTTTCTTTGTTTTATATATAATTTTATATTTTATTCTGTATTTTTTTTTTTTTTTTACTTTTATGTTTCTTCACATTCTGTGGGGAGCCCCGGAGGCTCCCTGGAGCTATCGGATAATATGTGATACATTAAACCAGGGCTTTAGTCAATGGAGTTCAGCCTGCCGGGGACCACGAGCCAGAACCTGGCCTCCTCAGAGAGGCAAAGGGAGCAATGGCCTATAGAAACCCCCATGTGGTTGGGGGCATTCCATGTCTGCCATCGACTGGGGGTTGGCACCCAGAAAGGTAGGCATAACAAAACAAACCCCACATGGTAAGAAAATGCGACAGAAAACCGAATAGAGAGGCAGAACTCACCCTACAACTTAAGGAAACAAGCAAACGTCACACCTCACCACCACGCTGCCTGTCCGTGCAGCCCCCCCTTCCCCTGGAGAGGGATCCCCTGGCTCCCCCATGCCAGCTACCCAAGCCATCCAGTTAGTTGGCTAAAGTGATCCAGGGTGGACGTCATCTCTGGCCTCAGTTTCCAAGCAGTGTTTACCTTCGTGGTGTGGTGGCCAGGTGTACTTGAAGTGTACCAGGGCTGCATGCGATTAGGGCAGCCTTCCCTAAATGCCCTGTGAGTACTACCATTGCATGTCAGGGTTGTCTTCCCTGGTGCATTCGGGATGCCATTTCCACTCTTTCTATCACCATGGGGTTTTTTGCTGCTTGGCATTTACCCTGCCCTTGGGACCAGCTGGGGTTTTGTGGCCCTTGTTTGACCTTGGGTAGGAAGTCGCACTGTTGCTAGATGGTGCAGCAAGGTGTTGCACAGCCAGCTTACCTATGCAGTGGCCGGTTTCTGTTTCCTCTGGGGACGTACTTTGTGGGGTTTCCTTTTCATTTTTGTTTTCAGTGCCGGGTGAGGGTCTGGTGTGGCTATAAGACCACTATAATATTTTGTTAGCCCTCCACTAGGCTCCCCGTGCTTGTACACAACACAGAGGTTTCAGTATTGTGATCTTCCCCTTGTTAGCTTTGGGTCTAGTCAGTTAGCAACGCTTTGCCCGGGCTTCCCGTAGCAGTCAGCCTACAGGCCCTGGAAAACCCTGTCAGGGCTTGGTGGACCTATGGATGCCTCTTCCGAGTTCCAGCTCACCTTGTGCGAGTTTGAAGGTTGCTGTATGCCACTTGTCTCAGTGTGACAATCGCCACTTTTGCCTCCGTCATGCCACCTGTTAGGTCACCGACACCTTTGACCCGGAGTCTTGCTAGTCGTGTTCTTTGCATGTTCTCCACTTACCCTTTCTATTGACATTGATATTTGGGTTACCTTGAGGTTACCTTGAGGTGCTTCCGGGGCTTAGCGTCCCCGCGGCCCGGTCGTCGACCAGGCCTCCTGGTTGCCGGACTGATCAACCAGGCTGTTGGACGCGGCTGCTCGCAGCCTGCCTGGGTACAGGCAGCATCCGCATTGCGTGTTAGGTTTAGGTTGCTGTAATGCGCTATATTGGTTGCCCACCCGGATGCCCCGAGGCTGACCTGTTTTGGCGTTGTTCGCTCTTCTCGCCCCCTCCTTTTGCACAACCACTTGGGCTGGACGATCACTACATGCAGGTCAGCGTTCAATCCCTAACTGTCCAAGCGGTTGGGTGCCATCCCTTCCCTTTCCACCCCAGGGGCCGGCCGGCCAAGCAGACAGCACAATGGACACGTGATCCTTTGGTCCCGGGTTCGATCTTGGGCGCCGGCGAGAAACGATGGGCAGAGTTTCTTTCACCCTATGCCTCTGTTACCTAGCAGTAAATAGGTACCTGGGAGTTAGTCAGCTGTCACGGGCTGCTTCCTGGGGGTGGAGGCCTGGTCGAGGACCGGGCCGCAGGGATACTAAAGCCCCGAAATCAACTCAAGATAACCTCAAGATAACCCATCCCATGCCATCTCCTTATCCTGACCCCTTTCCAAGTGCTATACAGTTGTAATGGCTTGGCACTTTCCCCCCCTGATAGTTCCTTTCCTTCCTGTCTCTCTCTCTCTCTCTCTCTCCACCCCCCACCCCCCCCACCCCATTTCCAGCTCCGAAACATCTGGGGTTTTGGGGTCGGGGTGGGGTTTAGTTGGTGATGAGACTCATTGGTTTCGCGGAGCTGCCCCATTCGGGTTGGGAACTAAGGCATTTGAGCCTGCTCCTCCTGCCGAGGCTTCTGGGTCCTACCAGCAGCCCCCTTCTTTGTTGCCTTTCCAATGGACTCTGCCTTTTCTTTAGGAGTGGAGAACGGCTCTGCCCTGGGGCCTCTGTTGCGGGTTCCTGGGGCTGTGGGGAAAGCCCATTAGCAGTTCTGAGGCTGTTTGCCCCTGCTTTTGCTTTGTGCCTTCTGGGCAGGTTTTTTTTTTTTTTTTGTCTCTCCTCGTCTGTTTTATTTTCCCGCATTTGCTGGCGTGATTTCGGCTCTCTTGTGTGAGCCACATCTCCTTTTGTTTTGGTGGCCATTTTCTTTAATGCAGGTCGCTTCCCCGCCTGGCTGCCAGGGCGGTGCTGCGGTTTGTTTGTTTACATGTGCCTGGGAGTGTGTGTTCATGTTGTGGGGGCCTTTTTTTTTTTTTTTGCCTCCGTCGCGAGTTTCTATCCTCCTGTTGCTGTTACTCTGTTTTGTTCTTTCTTCTAGGGCGTTGTTATTTCTGTTCTTCTGGGAATGCTTGAGTGTTGACTTTTTCGCCCGGTTGTGTGTTTTCTGTTTGTTTGGGTCTGTGTCCGGTGTACTTGCCCATTTGCTCTGCTTGTCCCCACACCTTTTGTCCCTTGGTTTTCAGTCTATTTCTGGCTGTTTAACTGGGGGTTCAGTCTGAGTAATGTGTTTTGCCCTTCATTTCTGTGGTGCATTCTCTGACAGCAAATGTTGTGGTTTGGACTTCCCCCGGGTTCGTTTCCGGGTTCCTTTCGGCTCTTTGGTTTTGTTCTGAAGGTTTTCTTCCTCTCGGGTCCCCTTTGGAGTTCTGGAGGTCCTTGTTTACCTCCTCTGCCTCCCAGATTTTCCTCTTCTAGGGTTCCAGGGTCTTCCTGGCTTGCAGACTGCCCTTCCTGGGTCTTCCTGGGTTTTGTGGTTGTGCCGGGACTTCGGCTTCTGTAGTCAAGGTGGGCCTATGATGCAGCTTTTGTGCCGGTGTCTCCTCTTGTATCTTCTTCGTCTGGCTGGCGCGGTGCTTTGCTCTGCTCGTAAGTCGGATTCTTGGTTTCTTTTATTTTTGTTACAGTATTTACAAATTTTTTTGTTTTTGTTTTTTGCTGGTCCCTTCGCAGGTCACCCCCTTGACGGGGTGATGAGGGGAAGGCTCACTCTGTTTGCTCATGCCTGGTCCCACGATTCATGGGTGTTAGTGTCATGTCCTCCAGCCTGTGGTGGCTCTAGGTGGCTCCTCTTCCTTCAGGGAGTTTGGGGTTGGCAGGGTGGGCTTCTTCCCCTACGCTCTGTTGGGTCATCTTGGAGTGGGTGCCCTTGGACGTGGTTGACACGACCCCATCCCTCAGGTCAGTTTCTCTCCTGTTCCAGTGCCGAAACGAGACTGTGCGGATCTGCGTTTCATTCTGGACTTGTCCCGTCTAAACCCTGGATTCCTTGCCCCTCCTTTTGGATGACCACTCTGTCTCAGGTCCAGCTTCTGTTGGGAGCTGGGTGCCTGGATAGGGTCCCTGGGACTCAGGGGGACGTATTGGCATATTCCCATTCAACCTGGGTTCAGGGACTGGTTAGGTTCGTGGTGGGGTGTCTGGCTTACTGCTTTTGTTGCCTTCCTTTTGGCTTGACTCTGGCACCTCGCATGTTTACACATCTTACCCGGATTGTGGTGAACCGTCTGCATCTGCTACTGGGGTTCGGGTTCTGACCTACCTCGACAACTGGTTGGTGTGGGCTCCCAGCCAGTCTGCTTGTCTGCTCACCAGAGGTGTGGTTCCTTCCCAGCTTGCTGGGTTCAGTTTTCAGTTGCATTTTCTTGCTAGGTGGGGTTTGTTTTGTTATGCCTACCTTTCTGGGTGCCAACCCCAGTTGACAGCAGACATGGAATGCCCCCAACCACATGGAAGTTTCTATAGGCCATTGCTTCTTTTACCTCTCTGAGGTAGCCAAGTTCTGGCTTGTGGTCCTTGGTAGGATGAATTCCATTGAGTAAGCCTTGGTCTAATGTATCGCATATTAACCTGATAGCTCTAGGGAGCCTCCGGGACTCGCCCAGAAACTACCGTTTCATTATATTCAACTCTGGTTTTTTTAATACTCTTCCTCAGGTACTAGAGTATATCAAGGCACAGCTCCCTGAAGAAGAAGTTGAAAAGGGCCAAGATCCTCATAAAATCACGGAAGAGATCTTCCATCATGAGGACAAGGACAGGGATGGTTATATTTCCCATGAGGAATTCTCAGGACCTAAGCATGATGAACTCTGAGTGTCTGCATGTCACATAGGACTGCATCATCATCCAAGACAAATGGATTTTTAATATGGGAGTGCTTACTCTTTCTATCACTTTTCACAAAGGGTGCTGATAATTCTACTTTTTTAGTGGATTTACCAAAGTAATATATTTTTTTAATTTGCTTAAAAAAGGAAGTAAAATAATGACCCTGCTTTATAGCGCCTTAGATTCATCCTCAAGCCTAAACGATATGGTACGTAAAGTTTTATTCTGGGTTTCTCACTTCTCATTTACAAATCTCATCATTATGTTACACGCATTGTTTACTATCAAGGACTCGTCTCCTTAAACTCTGCCTACACTCATAATAATCAGTGGATTGTACATTTCCAGTTTGTTAATATACTGTACTTAGATATTTTCCACTGTCCAGCATATATGATGGTGGCCTCAGAATCATTGTGATATGAAGTGTTTGCCTAAGCCTTAATTGCAATTCCTATGGGATGCAATCAATTTATTGTATATACTGTACTGTATTTAAAAAAAAATCCAATGTACTGTTGTGCTATGAAACCACCCTCATCTGCAAGCATTTTATTCATATTCACATTTTATAATTGTTTGCATAGTTTATTACAGTATAACATAAAAAATAATATAATTTTTAAAGAGAATTTTTAAGAGCTATTGTTATATTTATATAATTTTAGTGCACCCTAAAGGATGAATATATTTTTATCATAAATTATCTTAACCCTTCCTTAAATTTGTTGGCGTGCTTTAAGTTACTATATATTATAGAGCTGTTAATATGACATAAGTGATTTGGTGATTGAATTCATACTCTTTTGTTCACACACAATAGATCTCATATTTTTCTTGTTTTGTTGCTTGCTTTCAGTACAGTAGGCATACAGTAAACTTGAGAATTCAATGACAATTCAAATTCAAGTAAATGGCCTTCCCCTAATTATGAAGTGTCAGATATGGAATAGCTATGTGCTGTAACCAGTTTTAGCACAGTGTTATAGTTATCAGAAGTGACATATAACATTGCTTTACATTTGTAAATACTGTACAGAGCACATGAACATTACATATGGCAACAAAACCAGAAAATAACTTCACAACTATAAAGTCTTCCTTTAACAAGTCACAAAGTTTTCTAAGAGTATTACTAGCAATTTAGGTCAAATATTTTATAACTGTTAATTAATTTGTATCAGCCGCAACTTTATCAACTTAAGGAAAATTTGGCATGACCTTTCATAAAAAATATAACCCTTATGCTCAGAAACATGGATGAGAGCTCGTCGATGAATGCTTTACAGTGTTTGTTATACTCTTTTATTGAATTATTGGAGTGGAACAGTATGTTTCATTGGAACTGATGGTCAGAATTAAAAAGGCTGTGTTGCATATGTTCATCATATATTTGCATAAATCTATCATTTCTATTAAGTACCACATTATCACTCTCCTAGAAAATGTAAGAAAATTCTGGCTGTCATTTCCTTAAAAAATGTGACTGGTGTGCCGTGTGAGCGATACCTAACACATAGACATTCCTAGTGCATTAATCTAGCTCCTGACAATGAGCTGATATTGTATTATAGAAATTTTGACACAGATTTGTATTTATATTTTCTTGTTGGATTTTATTACTAACTTTGTACTCTGATTAATCAGTAAATTTTATGAAATGTGTATTACTTGTTTGATTTTAAATATAATTAAACAAATTACCTAGTCTCGAACTCATGATACTCTACCATGGTCCATTCAGGACATATCCTTAAAAACTTACATGTATGGTCTACCTACCTACCTGCTGATGATTTTGAGGATCAACGTCCTCATGGCCCAGTCTCTGACTAGGCCTCCTGGTTGCTGGACTGTTCAACCAGGCTGTTTGCAGCTTGACTTATAAGTCACAACCTGGTTGATCAGGTATGCTTTGAAAGTGCTTGTCAAGTTCTCTTTTGAACACTGAGAGGCTGGCAAGTTCCCTTACACTCTTAGTATGTGTGTGAGGAAAGAATGTTGAAAAGTTTTGAGTCTGATGTTTATCGAGTTCTCTCTAAGTATGCCTATTGCACCTCTGCTTTTCAGAGGGGCTATTTTGCACATCCCGCCATATCTTCTGGTCTCATGTGGTGCTATTTCTGTGTACAGATTGGGAACCAGTCCTACTAACATTTTTCAAAGTGTAAATATCTCTCCTGCCTGCACTCTAGGGAATACAGATTTATAATTTTTAGGTGGTCCCAATAATATTTATAGATGAACAAATCCACAAGGGCCGTGATGAGGGTTCAAACCTATGTTCGGGATGATCCCAGACGTGTCTTAGTCGACTGCGCCATAACATGGTTAAAAACATTGCAACCTGCAGTGCTACTTGCTCTCACGAGGCTCCCGCAGCTTCTCCGAAGCCCAAATCCAGTTTTACACAATTCCCCCCTTGCACCCAGACTCTGTCAACCAAACGTTCTACCTCTTCACCCTTACTTCAATACACATAGAAATCACAATAGCATGGTATATCAAATTAACAAATCCACAAGGGTCATGATGAGGGTTTGAACATATGAACGAGATGATCCCAGACATGCCTTAGTAAGGCATGTCTAGGATCATCACGGCCCTTGTGGATTTATTCATTTATCCACAAACCAGGGTTTTACACATTTCCCTATGCACCCGGGCTCTGTCAACCAAATGTTCTACCTCTTCATCCTTACTTCATTACATAGAGAAATCACAATAGCGTGATACATCAAATTGAACAAATCCACAGGGATGTGATGAGGGTTCAAACCTATGTCCGGAATGATCCCAGACACACCTTAGTACGTAAGTTCAAACCCTCGTCACGGCCCTTGTGGATTTGTTCATTTTATATATCACGCTATTGTGATTTCTGTGTATAATATGTATAGATGTTTTATTGAGTGGATTCTAGCAGTAAAGGTTCTTTGCAAACTCTCCAGGTCAGCAATTTCTCCAGTTTTGAGTGAGGCTGTTAGTGTGCAACAATATTTCACTCTAGAGAGCACTATTGTCTTTAAAAGTTGTCTTTTATGAATGATGATAAATGTATGTCGGGGACTTGCCGGCCGACCTTGGCGACGGATGGTGGTTCGTGCAGCGTTTCTCCCGTGGACATTTCCGATCCCTTTGAGGATTTTCCAGACCCGTTGTCCCTTGGCACGCATTCTGGTCACGACGTTCTCCTGGTCTTGGAGGGGAATACCAAGGGTGTTTTTCTGGACAGTAAACATCATAGATTGGCTCTATGATGCTTAGATTACTGTCCATGGCTAATAGAGTGGAGGCGAAACGTCGCCTGCATCCTGCAGTGCCCTGTGGTTGTCCACTCCCTCCTGGTCAAATGAGTTCTCCTGGCCTATGTACGTTCATCAACGACTTTGATGCTGATACACCAGCTGATCAGAGTGTTTTTAGAAATATTAGGGCACACAGTCTTTTCTATCAATCTGTTCTCGAGTTCTTTAAGATCGAGGTGCATGATTTCAGGCCGAAAAAACGCAGGAACTTGATTACCGTGGACCACGCTTCTTCCGGGAACTTGGTTCTTTCAGACATTACTGATATCTATGGTTAAAAAGTTCGTTGTAATATGCCTCTGGGTGACCGTTTGGTACAATATGTGGTCTGGCATGTTGCTGACATTAGTGCGGACGACATCAAGGCGCACTGCAGGATGCTAACATTCTGATCTTTGTTTTCAAGAAATTTATGCGTAGAATTGATGGGGACCTGTGTGATACCGGCACTGCCCTCCTTACTTTTCTTGACTTCCTTTCCCCTAATCGGGTTTGGATTAATGGCTTCCTCCATAAATTGGAGGTGTACATTCCCCATCCCACTCAGTGCTTTTGTTGTAAGGGTTTTCACCATACCTCCCATGGCTGCACCAATGACGTCCGTTGTGGCAAATGCTCTGGTTCCCATTACACTCGTGGCTGTGAGTCTGACAAGCTCTGTTGCCTCAACTGTGGTGGTGATCATCTCATCACTTTCAAGCAGTGTCCTTCTTACGTTGTGGCGCTCACTAAGGCTCTTCCCGTCGTCACTCTGCCCTCCAGTCCCATTTTGCCTCATCCTGCCCTAGTTCCTTGTCACCTGCAGCTTCCCTGACTGTGTCAGACTTTGCTTTGCCTGATCTGTTTGCCACAGATGTTCCTCTCGCCCATGAGGCCTCTTCTCTCCCACCCGCCATTCAAATGAGTCCTGATCTTGTTGACAATATTGTTGCTCGAGTTGTGGATGCACTCGAGATGGTGCCGGTCCACCTTATCATTAAATTCTTTCCGCAGTCTTTCCTTCCTGTTCCTGAGGCTGACCCGTCGCTCCTCTACTCCGCTTCTTCTGCGGTTGACGTCCATCCTCCCGCAGCTACCTCTACTATCGCCAATGCGTTTGAATCGATGCTGGACAGCGCTCTTCAGAACTCTTTGGTGAGCCTTCCCTGTGTCTCTCCCCAGGCTGCCTTGCCACACGTCTCTGCCCCCGGTACTAAGCGGAAGCAATCCTCCTTTGTCCAGCTTTCCAAGCGCCCTGCCACCTTGCCTGATGGGCCTCTTACTTCGTGTTCTCCCACGACTTGTCCTCGCGCCCTTCCAAGGTCTTCCTCCCATTGTCCTGCTGGCGCTTGTGCTGAGTCCGGTGCATTAGCGTCCCAGTCATGAGGCTCCAGATGCCATCTCCGTACCTTGCCCTGTCCTAACTTCGCCTGTCCCGTCTTGACTTCCTCTACCCTTCTCCACATTCGCACTTGCCTCCTTCACATCGTTTGCCCCGCCCTTCGTCTCTTGCCTCCGTCCCTTGCTTTCTTTCCTGTAGCGACGCTTTGCATTTGCCTTCAATTTTCTTTATTCCCATCCTACGTTCCTTTCCTCTTGTTTATTTTGCTTTTATCCTCATTTTGTTTATTTTGCCTTTATCCTTTATCCTTATTATTTTGTGTTGTTGTGCATTGTCATGTATGTATCTTTCTACATTACCACTCGTGCAGTCATCGGGAGGATATACCTTCATGCAAACTGCACATATTGCGAAGAAGAAGAAGAGAAATGTCTATCATCATTGGCATGGGATATTTTGTTTCGAAGGTTCTTGTATTCCAACCTGTCCATTTCATTTTTCTTGCAGTTGTGACAGCAACTTTGTTGTGTTCTTTAAAAGATCTTTCGACATGATTACTCCTAAATCTTCTACATTGCTTTTTCTTTCAATAGTGTGGTTTGACTTTGTTTTATATTTGGTTTCTGGTTTGATGTTTTTGTTTTTTCCATAGTGCAGTAATTTGAATTTATCCACATTAAATTTATGTTATTTTCTGTGATCTATTGAAAGACTTGATTAACATCAGATTGGAGGTTTGCTCTGTCCTCTATATTGTCTACTCAGGAAAATTCTAGTGTTATCTGCAAAGGATTATACAGTACTATGGTTTGTATCCTTCTCAATCTCTGATATGAGGATGAGAAAAAGTGCAGAAGCAAGCATGGTACCTTGGGGACTGAGATTTTCATGGTGGTTAATTTAGATTTTACTTTGTTGACTATCACACTCTAGGTTCTGTTTGTTAGGAAGTTAAAGATCCTTCTCTCTACTTTACCAGTAATTTCTTTTGTGCGTATTTTGGGTGCAATAACACCATGGTAATGAAAGGAAAGGAAGGTAGTGTGGGGTAGGGAAGGTAGTGACAGAGAGGGAAGCATATTTCTTTTCATAATCCTTTCCTTTGTGTATTTATTGTTACTTAAGATATAGAAATTTGCTGAATTTTGTATGAATATATTTGACCAGTATCATAGATATTAGAATATACAGTACTGTATAGATTAACATTTAGTAAAATTTTGTATCTTATAAAATGGCTTAGTTTATTATTGTAAACATAGAAATCAGTTTAAATTTGCAAAATATTTTATATTTCAAATACCATGAATTTGTTAATAGTGAATAACAAGATTTAAAATACTGTACTTTTGAGAAAACAAAACAAAATTTAATGACCGATGTTAACTAAAGAATTTATATGACAAAAGGCAAAGAATTCTCCCCTAATTTTGAATTGGAAATTAAAAAAATAGAAAGCACAATATTGGAAATGTGAATGCCCATGCTAAGATGTTTTAACTAAACAATTTATTAAAAAGCAAGGGTAAATGTTTTTACTGGCACAGTGCTGTACTTTAATGCCTATTTTTAAAGGTACCACCACAAAATATGGTAAAAGTAATACTATACTCATAGCTTTTGCTTCCCTAAGCTCATTGAATATATTTTGTATTGTGCAACAAATTTGTAAATTACTTCTGACTAATTAAAGTAACTTACTACCAATGTTTTGTGTGGGAGATTATTAGCTGAATTAAAATTTGATATACTGTACAGTTTATGATTTGAAACACTTTTAATCATAATATTCTCTCATAAATTATTGCTATAGTTTTCTACAGTATAATTACAGTACTGATATTTTCTAATATAAATAAGAAAAATTGTAACTACTTTGTAAACATAAAATAAGTAAATTAGACACAAAATAGATAAGATTAAAGTCTTGCTATATAACTTCCTAATAGTATGTCTACAAAAGATTATGATAAGAATGTCAGAAAGCTGGGTGAAGATTAACTGATTGATGGTATTTATCATGAACCCAATAGTGT